TCATTTGCCCTTCCTTTTCTGGCTGACGTACCTGTAGAAGCCCTTACTGTTCTTTGCGTCCCTTGCCAAGTTGAGCTCCAGCCGTGCCTTGGCCTTCCTGACCCCATCCCTACACAACCGGGCAGCGTCCCTGTACTCTTCCCAGGATACCTGTCCCCGCTTCCGCTGCGTGCGCATTTCCTTCTCGCCCCCAGTTTGACCAGCAGGTCTCCACTCAGGCATGCCAGTCTCTTGCTGTCCTTTCCTGATTTCTTACAGCCGGGGATCGAGAGCTCTTGTGCTCTATGGAAAGCGTCCTTAAAGATCTGCCAGCTCTGTTCTGCTCCCTTGTCCCTGAGGGGGTCCTATTGACGAACTCCTTGAGGAGCTGGAAGTTTGCTTTCCTAAATTCATCACCTGCCTATCACACCTCAAGGTTTTTGTCACTTCCCACCTTTGCCTCATTCCTTGCCACCTTCCACTTTTTCCACTTTGCCTTTTCCACTTGCCCTTCTTGTCAATCTTGGTGAATTTTTGTTTTTCACGGCTCCCAGCTGTGGGAGGAGCGGGACGTCGGTCCCATCCATCCCTGCCCACCACCCACGCCCCCCGGAGCTCCCTGCCTCGGCTCCCACCTCGGCTCATCCTCTTGCCCCGTCCCCGACTCCCAGCCTCCTCTCGCACCTCCTAGCTGGGCTCCTGGCTGTTCGGGGCGACTAATCCAAGCTACGCAAAAGACATTTATTCTGCAGCATCCCTTAAAATGTCTTTTCCGCTTTATCTCTTTCACTCCTACTCCCACCGGACGCCCTATGAGAGGACCGGTGTCCGTGATGCTGCTCTCCTAAGCCGCGCTGTGCTGGCACACTGCGGTTTGGGCAACTTACGGTCGGCAACGGAATTAGGAAGCAGAAACCGGCTGCTTACAAAGGAAGGTCATAAAAACCATCCGAGAGCCGACCAACGCGGGGCCGCTCAGCCTGAGCCCCTGGCTCTCGCTCCAACTCCCGGCTGGAGGCAGGAGATGCCCGCGGCACTCGCGGCGCGGGGCTCCGGCGGTACGGGGAACGCATCGGTTTCCCTGCGGCAACTGCGCCGGGCGGAGGGCGTCCTGCAGAAAGAAACCCTAGGGCCACCGAGCAGTAGCCAGCCCACCCCCGCTGGCCGTGGTTTTGCTGGAGGTACTTGCATATAGAGGTTTTGTAAATAGAAAAATATCAGTGATGGGGATCCGAGTAATCGTTTTTTTAAAAAAACTTACCAGGTTTACGTCTTGCTTTGCTTTTTTGAAGCAGAAGAGGTTTTGTTTTTTTTTTTTTAA